CCAGGGGAATCCGAAGCCCTTTTCCAACCTCCATGGAATTGCACGACACGGGTGCACTCACATACATGCAGGCAATACACTAATACACATAAAAATAATAAATAAAATATTTTAAAAATTAAGTATTGCCTGGTGTGGTGGTTGCATACCTTTAGTTCCAGCACTTAGGAGGCAGAGGCAGGCGGTTCTCTGTGAAATTGAGTCCAGCTTGGTCCACTATATAGCAAATTCCAGGTCAGATGGGGCTACAGGGTCACAAAAAATATACTTTACAATATTAACATAAAAAGAGAAAAAATATATTATCTCAATAGATGCAGAAAAAGCATCATTCTGGGGGTACATGTAATCCTAAAAAGCTTGTCCATTTTCTAAGGCCACACCACAATAGAAATTACAACAGTGGTTGACACATTGGGTAAAATCAGGGTGCTGGCATCTAGCCCAATAGAATAGGACATGGGCAAGCCATAATGGATAGGTACAGCAATTCAAAGAACTGCTTTTGTGCCTACAAACTTACCAAAGGGTCAAACAGCCACACCTCAGCAATTCTCAAAGAACACTGCAGTGTGCAGTGGTCATTGATACCTGTAATTATGTTGAGTCATCAGGCGGAAATAAAATTATGCTTTTGACTTGCTGCTCCAAGAGAACAGATTATATATTAAGAATTGCTTTAAGCCGGGTGTGGTGGTATGCTTCTTTAATCCCAGCACTTGGGAGGCAGAGGCAGGTGAATTTCTGTAAGTTTAAGGCCAGCCTGGTCTACATAATGAGTTCTGGTCAGCTGGGGCTACAGGGAAACCCTTAAAAAAGAAAAAAAAGAAAAAAAAAAAGAAAAAAAAAGAATTGCTTTAGTGGCCATTCAATATTTGGAAATTAATTTATGGGTGGTATTGGATTTTTTACAACCTACCTGAGGTTTGTCATGGTTTAAACAGTATTTGGGCAAGAAGCAATTCAATTATGTAAATGTTGGATTTGAACATGTGCAATTAATGGGCCTGATACTGAATCACAAAACAGGGTCTGGTCCAGGTTTTTTAAGAGCTGTTACTATTTAACGGCAGGTGTGGCTTGGCCCTGTCAGTACATTGGGCTGAAAAGCCTGAGTAGGATTTGAGATTTTGCCTTTAATAGCCCTTTATGAGTGCATATTGAAAGTATGCAAATATCTATTTGCTGTTCTATCACTCTATTAATCTGGAACTACCCACAGCTCTTTACCCTAGCCTGAAGGGTGGCCTGCAGAAGGTCTCTATGTCTCTTCTCCTGGGGCCTTTCTTTCCCCTCGGGCAGGTTGAGCCCAGGCTGAAACAGTGCTGGGGGTTAACAATGCAGGGGCAATCCTCATCCAGATAAACGAGGGGCTGGAGGGTACACTCCCAGCTTCCTCATTCCTCAGTGGTAGTCCCCAGTGGTAACATTCTTCTACCCCACCCCTCACCCTATGCCCTCATCCTTCCTGGGATCACCACCCAAGCAGACTACTTAAACCAAATCTCAGGGACTTGGCAAGTCAAATAGCAAAGCTGATCCAGAAGCGTCCTTAGAAAGCTCCACAAGGTGAGACCTTAAGTGTTCTGGTGATAGCCTGGCTATGCTGCTGGATCAGTAACCACAATTTTCACTTGGCATGGACTTGGATGAAGAGAAAGTCAGGCTCTGATTAGCCTCTATTACCTTGATGCTCCAGCAGCATTTAGAGGCCTCCGATGTGCAGACACCAGAATGTCTCAGAATCAGGCCCAAGGCTGGACTGCAAAGGTAGTCCAGTTGCAGAAAAGCCCAAATTCAAGAACTCCATGCCTAAAAGTCTCCTTTGCCTGACCCAGTGTCCTGGTTAGGAAGGTATGACTATCTGGGTAGATGCTTCCAGTGACCTTGATTACCAAGTCACAGAAGTGGTTCACATTCTGTTCCTAGAGAATTTCCTACCATTACCTAGAAAGTGTCATCTTTTGAAAGGAGCCTGCCAAGGAACTTTGGTGCTTCCAGAGACCTGCCTCCCCACCCACTCACCTCCAGATCAGCAAGGAGTAGTGTTCTTAGTCCCAGCAATTCCATTTAACCCAAAGCCATGGCTACTTTTTTGCTTTGCTCTTCAGGCTACTAAATAATCATCCAGGGGAGAAGTGGCCACACTGGCAGAAGGTGACTGAGCCCAATTATGCAATGGTGAAGAATGTAGCTTGTTTATTAACCTTTTAGTTGGTGGGTTTTGGGTTGTTGTTTCTTTTGTTTTTGTAATTTACTGTTTAAAAAAAAAAATGACCAGGGGCTGGAGAGATAGTTCAGCAGTTAAGAGCACTGGCTGTACTTGCAGAAGACCAATGTTCGAATCCCAGCACCCACATGGCAGTTAACAACTGTCTATAACACCAGTTCCAGGGCAATGCCCTCTTCTGGTCTCTGTGGGCACTGCACAACACAGGTGCACTTGTATATATGCAGGTATAACACTAATACACATAAAATAAAATTTAAAAATAAAGAACACCTCAGATTTGTCACCTCTCAGAGCAAATATTCAGAGGTATTTCTGTACAATGTTTCAGGGTCCCCAGCAGGATAGTCTTGGTTGCCCATGGTTAAGAGACACCACTTAACCTACTTCAATTCCTGCCTTCTGCAGGAATCCCCAGATAAAATACCCGCACCCAGACCCTGACCTGAGGGTCTTTTCCAGCTAAGCTTGTTTCCCCAAGGTTATCATGGGGTCTTTGTTAAGCTTTTTTTGCTCAAATCCTAATGTAATGTCTCTTAAAAATCATGAGGGGCAGATGAGATGACTCAGCAGGTAAAGGTGCTTGCTGTCAAGTCTGATGACCTGAATTTGATCCCTGATATCTACATGGTAGAAGAGAATCATCTCCCACAAGTTGCTCTCTGACCTCCACATGCACACACATGCACACACACTTTGAATCTAGGTCTTTGTATAAACTAGATAAATGTTCTACCACTGAACTTTATCCCTAGCCCTCTATTTCCTTTTTACTTTGATGCAGGGTCTTGCTAAATTGACCGGGCTAGACTTGAACTCACTCTGTACCCCCAGCAGGCCTTGAACTTATGTTCCTCCTGCCTCAGCCTTCCAAGTAATTGGGATTATAGGTTCTGTGATACCAGGCCTGATTTCTTTCTTTTTTAAAAAATATTTTATTATTTTTATGTGCATGAGTGTATTGCCTACATGTAAGTGTATTGTGTGTGTGCAGTGCCTGCAGAGGCCAGAAGAGGGTGTTGGATCCCCTAGAACTGGAGTTACAGATGGCTGTTAGCTGCCATGCTGGTGCTGGGAATAGAACCTGGGTCCTCTGGAAGAACAGCAAGTGTTCCTAACTGTTGATCTATCTCTCCAGCCCCCAAGGCCTGATTTCTAGCTAGTAAAACACAGAATGGCTCTAGGTAATCATTTTCAAAGTGCTCTTAAAAATCTGTTTAATAAATTGCCAGATGGTTTGATAGTAGCATTTCAAAATTACAAAGGATGGGACTAGGAAGGTGGCTCAGTGTGGTAAAGTGTTTACTCTATGAGCATGAAGACCTGAGTTCAGATCCCAGCAACCTTTTATATGGGCACGGTGGTGAGGATCTGTAATCCCTGTGCTGGAAGACAGAGAAAGAAGGATCCTGGGTTTGCTAGGCAACCAATCTAGCCAACAGGTGAGTTCCAGGTTCAGTGAGGGGTTGTCTCAAAAAACGAGATGGAAAATGATAGAGGAAGACACAACATCGACCTCTGGCTTCCATATGTACACATAGGCATGCATGCCTACACATGCAGGTGTATACACACACACACACACACACACACACACACACACACAAACAGAGTCATAAAGAATTTTCAAAGCTCTTTTTGCTTGGTCTAATAATTAGCAATTTTTTAAAGTAAAAAAATTAAATAATTTAAATATAAAAAAGGGTAAATTGTCGGGCGTGGTGGGTCATGCCTTTAATCCCAGCAATCGGAGGCAGAGTCAGGAAGATCTGAGAGCCAGTATGTTATTTTGATATATCACAGTGAAAGATTTATCGTCCTCTTTTTTTTTTTTTTTTTTAAAAAAAAAAAAAAAAAAAAAAAAAAAAAAAAAAAAGAGAGAGAGAGAGTTATATAATGTAAGAGACTGAATTCACATTCTAAAATAAGTGGTACTGTGGTGACCTAGAGGACCTGATGCCAGTGTGAAAGATGCATGGTCCCCCAAATACCTTTCTTTGCTCTTTCCCTTCAGGAAGTACTGAAACCTTAAAAAATGATGGTGAAAACTGTTTTGTCTGAACGCTATTGCCAAAAAGATATTGTCTATTACTAATTTGTGTGAATAGGAAATATTAGCTTGCAGAAATGAATTTCTTCCTTAAAGACTTGCTTACATGAGATAAATCATGTCTTAAATTTCTAGTCTAAGTCATAAATTTGGAGCCCTGAAAGCTTAGAACACAGGCACTTACACATAAAGAGAGGACAAGCATTAATGCCAAAGTTTTGCAACCCAATACATGTAAAAACACAAGTATTTAAATATTTTACTTATTTTTATTTTATGAGTGTATTGCCTGCATGTATGTAAGTGTACTTGTGTCGTGCAACGCCCATAGAAGTCAGAAGAGGGTATCAGATCCCCTGGGACTAGAGTTATGGGTGATTGTTGGTCACCATGTAACTCAGTTCTTCTGCAAGAGCAGCCAGTGCTCTTAACCGTTGAGCCATTTTGCCATTTTTCTAGCCCCAACACAAGCATTTAAAATGTAAATATCGCTAGGAATCTTTTAGTTTATCAGAATGGAAATAGCAGATAGCAAAGGCTTTATCAAATAGGATTATATATTTAATAGAGCCAAGTTTTCTATATAATCATTTTTATAAGACATAAACATGATTAAACAATTTAACAGACACAAAAATCTAAGACATGAGAACAAATGAACACTTAATTGTCAAACAGAAGAAATGATAACAAAACCCTTTACATTTTGTTTTTTTTTTTAAGGTGTAAGTCATAATTTTGGAGCCTTAAATTTTTAGGTTAAACCAAAGCTGCATTATTCAGTTTTGCTTTTGCTTTACAGTGCTGGGGATTGACCCCAGGATTTCATGCACATTAGGTAAATGATCTTATAGGCACTGCACCTGGCACACAGCTGCATTATGATGGCCATCAGCTCAAACTATCCCCAGAGTTTGGCACATTCATGGCTCACTCAAGGCTTGAACCAATATTCCTAGAAAGTAAAAAATATTTAGACTAAAATGGTTTTCCAGTTAAATGAGATGAATCTTTTTTTTTGACACAGGGTCTCACTATGTAGACGTGACTGGCTTGGAACTCAAGAGATCCACCTGCCACTGCCTACCAAGTGCTGGGACTAAAGGTGTGCAACACTACACTCAGTCTCAAAATAAATCCTCCTCCTCCTTTTTTAAAGATTTTATTTATTTTTATTGTATGTGTATGAGCTTTGCCTGCACATATATAAGTGATTCACATGTGTGCATAGTGCCTGCATTGGCCAGAAGAGGGCATTGGACTGCCTGAAACTGAAGGGTGGATTTAAGCTACCCTGTGGAAACTATGAACTGAACCTGGATCCTCTGGAAAACCACTAATCATCTCTCCAGCCCCTGAAGATAAATCTTAAAGCTGGGAAACTAAGTGAAATGAATACTTAAAATTGCATTTTGCTGAGTAGAAGTTCAGAAACAGAACAGTGACAAAACTAGGGGCAGAAGAAGGTGTTTAGGTGAGAGCAGCATCCTGCTGGCTATACCAAGGCACAGCAGTTACTTACCTTACTACTTGAGTTTTTAAAGAAACACTTTAAAACACTTAAATACTTTTGCATTTATTATTCAACAAGAACACATTATGTAGACTTTTTCAAAACCACTGCCAAACAAATAAATCAAAATTCAAACCAGCAATATAGGTTTCTTGACACATTGTTTCTTCCTGGCATAAGCTGAGAAAGGTGTAGAGAGAAGGTTAATAAATGGTTTCTGAAAGACAGAGTTGTTCTTTAGTTAGAAGTTCTGCTTCTGCCTTATACAGACTATCCTGGTCCACAAACAATAGAATGGACTTTTAGAGCGGGCATCATTTGGGCTAGAGAAACAGGGTGACTAGAGTCTTCAGTGAAAGCTCTATAAGAAAGTGATGAGTGATCTAACTATGGAGAGAGTGATGAGGAAAAATGTGTAGTAAATGCTGGAATCTTTTCTTTCCCTTCTCTGATTCATTCATCTTCCTAAGACTATCTTCTCTGCTTCTTTAGGGAGAAATTATCTTACCTTTATCATTTATTCCTTTAATATTTTAACAAAGCCTAAAACAATAACAACAAAAATCCTCACAGAGGCTGAAGAGATGGCTCAGCGGTTAAGAACCCTGGCTGTTCTTGCAGAAGACCCAGGTTTGGTTCCCAGCACCCAAATGGTGGCTGACAACTATCAGTAACTCCAGTTCCAGGGGGATCCAACACCCTCTTCTGATGTCCACGGGGATTGCATAACACAGGTACACTTACATACATGCAAGGAATACACTCATACACATAAAGAAAAAAAACCAAACCCTCACAGTACATTCAAGGATAATATGAAAAATTTGAATGAAAATACCAAGGAGACATAAGCTCTGATCAGTAAATTCTTCTCTGGGAATAGATTTATCTATCTGTGGAGGTAGAATAGCCTCTCTGACATTGCTCACTCAGGGTATGACACATTTGGTTTTGGAAGTGGGGAAATTTGCTACCTCTTAATGTGTGAAGAGTAAATCTTTCCTTCTGAGGTTTATTTATTCTCATGCCATATCTACTGTGGGTAGATGCTCTGTTTCTAATGCTTTATATAAAATTACCCAAGGAAAAGCAGATCAGTGAAAATACTAAATTTCTTGAAAATACCATTGTTCTAAACACATATAAGCTACAACCTAAAGTTAAGCCTGAGGTTGGATCAATTCTATTTAACACACAAGTTAAAGGGATATTCTGGAAATATGCATAAAGATTACATTTTGCTGGGTGTGGTAGCATACGTGTACTTTGCATCTATCTGCTTTCTAAGCTATAGAAGTACAGGATGAATCTGCCTTCTTCATCTATAACACAAACTTATAAGTCGGGCTGCAAAAGATGCCCGCATCTCCTGTGATAAGCAGAACTCATGATGGGGAGATGCAAAGGTTAACTGAGTCTTCATGCACACTGCAGCTACTTCCCCTTATAATTGATAAAAAACGATGGGCATAGTAGACAGTAACCACATTTCCTATGAATTTAAACACTTTGATGATCAGAAAAAGTAAACGAGTTAAGATTTCATTATTAAAAATAAGAACAAGGTTTATTTCTAAACTTTAATAACTCTACTGTTTATCCTTACACTTAGGGAATGTACAAGTTTAGATGATGCCAGCTTCTCTATAAGATTCACTCTTCTTACTAATGCAAAAGGATGACTCTTTTCTACCATGAAGAAATCTTGCTACATTTGCAGACTCTGGAGCACTCGATGGAGAGGTGTTTGGGACAACAGAAAAGAATCATTATGTTTTTTCTTTTCTTAAAAGAATTGAAAGTAGGAATACTAGTTCTAAATATAATAAGCCAAGTCTAAATCTTAGAAAAATGAGAGAATTTGACAAAATGCTTCAAAATACATGCCTGAGGTGGAGATAACTTGTACGTTCATGTGTGGCAGGTTTCAGATTAAACCTCTAATCTTTAATCGTCAGATTCGTACCTGGAAAATAAAAATTACGAGCATAATGTCAGGGCTCTTTCTGTTGTTGCTGTTATGAATGAAGTTCTTCCAATGATTAGCCCAGGGATGCTGTATGCTTGCCTTGACATCCCTACTGGGGTAGAAGTCAGACACAGTCAAGGCTAGTGTTATGATGGTGACTTGGGGTCTATATCAGATCACTTAACATGTCTTTAGATTCTGCATTTAGCATTCAGACCCATGATAGGTTAGGATGATTATGTCAATCCTAAAATCAACACGAACAGCTGACATGTCTGTGAGCTAAGAGTTAACAAATCTCCTCTCAGGACAAATTTGATCTTAAATTCACTTTCTAGATCTTCTCAACTCTGATAAAAGCAAAATGTGAGCTTCAGTTTGGTTTCTGAGAAAACCAAGATGACAAAAATGACCCCAACTAGCAAAGAACTTCAGGACCAGAAGGACACCATGGAGCAGAAAGGCTTAGTGCTGCCTTGCTAGCTGCTGTTTCTGTGCCATATCCTGCTAAGTGGATCCACTGCGAAGAACAGCTGAGTATAGTGTGGTAAAGGGAAAAGTCTGGTTGAGTCTAAAAGCAGTCCTGTGGGCACTAGCTGAGACTTCCACAGCCTCCTCACACAGGCCTTTGGACTAAGCAATGGGGCAACCGATGGCTTGACTCATCAGTAACAGCAAGCAAGTAGGGAGCGGAATCCCAAGGCAGGATCACCAGGCTTACTTTGCCAGTCTTTTCCGTAGGTCTTTGATTTGGTCATTCTTTTTGGTGAGAATCTCTTTCATATTTCGATAAGCTGCTGTTTGCTGAAATTTCTTCTCTAACTCCTGCTTTGTGGAAAATGTCAACCCATTACTATGAAATGTTAAGGAAAGAATATAATTTCTTTAAAAACAAAAATTAGCATAATCTGAAGTTAAAAAACATTGGAAATGAGAAGCCAATAAAATAGTACCATGTTAACAAGTAACTTAAGCACACTATGTCCTAGAGGTGGGAATCTATACAGCAGACTACCTTTCATGTCAAAGATGTAATGTTTCCCAAATCCCAAAGCAATGCTAGTAATTTAGAATTTTTAAAGATTTATTTACTTATTGAGAGAAAAAAAGAGAGAAAGGGGAGAGAAAGGTGGAAGGAGGGAGGGAGAGAGACAGAGACAGAGACAGAGAAAGACAGGGAGAGAACATGCCATGATGCCTGTGTGGAGGTCACAGAACAACTTACGGGGTTCTCTCCTTCCACCATGTGGGTTCCAGGGAATTGAACTCAGGTCTTCAGGCTTGGCAACAATCATCTTTACCTGCTGAGCCATCTCCTCAGCCCCAAGGAAGAATTTTCATTCGATAAAATTTTAGCTCCCAGGACTGGGATGTAGCTCAGTTGATAGAGCATTTGCCTAGTATGCACAAGCCCTAGGTTCCATCTGCAGCACCCAAATATAGGAACCAGGAATCTTAAGTGCCTAATCCCTAAAGTGAAGAATTTATCTCTCTATATGTCACATATAATCAATTACAAAAAAGGTCTCAAAGTCTTTAGAAAAAAAAAATCCACCCAAGCTTCTGCCAGGCTGGAGAAGAACCAGCAAAGTGCAACGCAGGGGTGCAGAGCAGCATGTGGAGGACAGCAGTTTGTTTTTATCACAAAGATGGACAAATGTAAGTGTCCAGCCATGATAACTCTTAAGCATGTATGTTGGCTAATGTTGGAAGAAAAATAATCTAAACTTGCAGTGTTTCTCTTAGTCACATTTATTTCTCTCTACTGTGTGCTCAAATAATTGGACAAGAACAGGCTAATCTCTTATGCATGTTCTGACCTTTTCAGCCATGCTCAGCTGCTCCTGAACTCTGAGGAGGTCGTGCTTGGCAGCTGCTAGGTTCTCCTCGAGGGACTTTTGGCTTTCTGTCTTGTCATTAAGTGTTTTCTGAAATTCACTCTTAAGAGCTGCAACTTTGTCTTCCAAGTCATTCAAGTCATGGGCCTTTATGAAATCCTATGGAAAATAATACACGAGTATAATTTCACATTGAAACCCTAAATAACAGCTGTTTTAGAATGGTGATCCAACATCCAAGGAGGCAAAAAGGAGTGATGTGTGCAGGGTTGTGTGTGCACATAGCTTTTCTCACCAGTCTGGGTAAGTGTCATCCCCAGCAGGATTGCAGCAGGCCCAGTCCAGCCTCGGCTTTGGTGTACACACAGCAGAGACTTAGTACTGTCACTGCATTCAGAACTAGGATTTCTGAACCGCTGCAATTTTAGTCCAAAAGGAACTGGAGAGAGGTGAGATTTTAATTTGACAAAGTTATGTATACAGGGCAAATCATTTTCAGATGGTGACAAGGTCTCTGGTAGATCAAGCTGGCCTCAGTCTTGCCGTATAGCCAAGGATGATCTCGAACTCCTTATCTTCCTGCCTTTACCTCCCAAGTCCTAGGATTACAGGCGTTTATCAGCACACTGGCTTATACAGTGCTAGGGATTGAACCCAGAGCCTGTGCATGCTAAGCAAGCATTTTAAAAATTGAGCTATATCCTTGTTCCCTGACAAATCATTTTGAAAAGCTAAATAAAAAAAAAAAAAATCCTGGTGAAGAATTTGAGTTCTTCAAATTGGTAGATAGGTGGGCTAGTCTGGGTTACATAGTGAGTTCCAAACAGGGTTCATAATAGTGAGACTTTGTCTCAAAAGAATCAATAGTATTGGGTGTGGTGCATGCTTTTAATACCAGCATACAGAAGGCAGAGGCAGATAGAGCCCTGAATTCAAGGCCAGCCTTGTCTCCCATGGCAAGTTCTACACCAGCCAGAGCTACACAGTGAGACTCTGTCTCTTTTTTAAAAAAAAAAAAAAAAAAAAAAAAAAAAAGTTTAGGTGGAAAATAAATGACATATAACTTCTACCTTTTAATAATTATTCAAGAAAATACAGAGAGCATCACTAATAATTACTGATTATAAAGGTTTCTAAATTGACAAGAGTTTAAGTTTTTTTCTGTTAATGAGCTATGTATATACTTCTTCATAATTTGCAACACAAATCTTCTATCTGGATCTTACTTTGACAGGTTAAAAATTAAAAATAAGGATTTTATTTATTATTTTTATTTTATGTGTATGAGTGTATTGCCTGCATGTATGTGAGTGCACCCGTGTTGTGCAATGCTGCGGAGGTCAGAAGAGGGCTTTGGATTCCTCTGGAACTGGAGTTAAGAACAATTCATAGCTGCCATGTGGGTGCTGGGAATCCAACCCAGGTCCTCTGCAAGAGGAGTCAGTGCTCTTAACCGCTGAGCCATCTCTCCAGCCCCGACAGGGTAAAATTTAAGACAGAAAAAAGATTTGTGGGGATGGAGATGGCTCAGCAGCTAACAGGGCTGCCTGAACTTTCAGGGGACCCAGGTTCAGTTCTTAGCACCCGATGATGCCTAACAACCATCTGTAACTTCAGTTGCAGGGGATCCAATGCCGTCATCTGGCCCCTGTGGGCATTGCACACACACGGTGCACTTACTACACGCAGGCAAAACACTCACACACATAAAATAAAAATTAAAAACTTTTTTAAAAAGAAAAAAAGATTTGTATTAATGTGACAGGAAAATGGTCTATATTTGCTAAATGCATAGATGAAGCAGTGTTTTCAACAGCATGAAACAAAATAATACTTGCTCATCTTTTAATCTTGTAAAAGATTTTGCTTCACTGCAACTAGTAAAGGCATATGTCCATTTTGCTTTAGTGCCTCTCTCCCCTAAATAACAGTAAAATTGAAGCATAGCCCCGAATGGCTTTAAATAAATTCATTACCCAAAAATGTTTGTAACTGTTTTATTTTTGAGAAAAGGTATAAAGCTGTTCTGGAACATTCACCTGCTTTATAAAAACAGTGTTCCTTTTCATTTTTTTTTTAGACAGGGTCTCCCTGTAGCCTCAGCTGTCCTGGAACCTGCTCTATAGAGACCAGGCTAGCCAGGATCTAATTGCCTGCCTCTGCCTCTGAGTAGTTGGGATTAAAGGTGTGTACCAACATACCAGCTCTAAATCAGTATTTCTTAACGCCATATACTTTTCCCTTCACTATACAAGAAATGTCCTTCTGTCTAAAAGGTAGCTAACGCATGAATGTTTGTGATTTGCTTTAAAAAGACATGGATGAGGGGAAGAAAGAAAAAGCAGAAATGAAGCCAGACTGGCCATGCCTGGTAACTGGTAAGTTAGTGGTAGGTTCATAGGGGTCCATTGCACTATTCTCTGTACTTCTGCATGTTTGAAAGTTTTCATGAAGTTTAACAAAAACCTGATGATGTCTAGGCGAGAGCAGCAACAGAGTGCCTGCAGATTAAAAGATGAGCAAGTATTATTTTGTTTCATGCTGTTGAAAACACTGCTTTTATCTATGTATTTAGCAAGTATAGATCGTTTTCCTGTCTCATTAATGCACAGGCCTTGTGTACAACATTCAGCCCCATTAAAAAAATTATGCTAGAAATGAAACAACAAAACCTTACAAGTCAATCTGGGGATTGTCCAGCAGGCATTTACTATGAATGCCACTAGAAAAGGCAATGCTGCACTGAAAATGTGTCCAAATGCTCCACTCATATATCCCACTGCAGTGTCACACAGTCAGTGGAAAGGCCACAGGAGATGCAATGGTGCACTTCCTAACTTCCACAGGTGACACAGCTTTCAGCCACTCTTGGGCCCCAGAATTCACTGTATTCCACAGTATAATGGATACAAATGGACTTGAAGACCATAACCAGCAAATTCTTCCCACTGTCACCCATCTAAGAAAAACTTAATGATCAGTATAATAAAACCCAGATAAAAATCCACAGTAAATTGCCATTCATTTTCTGTTTTCTCAATTATAACTGAGAGTGGGAAAGGGAAAAAATTAATAAATTTAAGAATATCTTGCAAGTCATTAAAATCTCAGACACATGCTAGTCACATGAGCTGTGAATCTGTCCTGGAGAGTGAAGAGAGGGTAGGGAACTGGTTCTTATCTGGCCTTTTCTGGGACAGGGATCACAATACAAGTCAGTAGTAATAGCATTTGGTAGGGAGAGTGGCAGGGGTAGGCTTATTACAATGAACAGTGTCTATATGACTTACAAGCTTCTTTGTTGCCTGACGTAGTGGTGAATGCAGCACTTGAGAAGCAGAGGCAGATGATCAAGGTTAGACTGGTCTATTGTAGCAAGTTCCAGGTCAGCCAGGGCAACAAACAAACAAACAAACAAAGGCTAAAACTCTGTTTCACCTGTTGATTTCCTTGATCAAGCTGTAAATCTTGAAGTGCTCTTTCCAGCTTTGACTTCTCATCCAGAGCGTTTGTAGCCTACAGTCAAGTGTCAACAGGACACACTCAGTATTCATGTTCTAGGTTAACCCTTCAATGACTGCATGAAAGGATTTTTCAGTTACCTGTATTTCAATGGTCTTCAGCCTTGACTTCAATTTCTCATTCTCCTGTTGAAGTCTTAAAATTTCCTTTGTGAGTAAATTCAGATTGTTTTAATCAAAACATATTTAACATTTGAAATTGCTTGTTTCACTTATAAATTTAATTTAATCAAAATTACACAATAGCTATTAGGCATGATGCTGCACGCCTTTAATCCCAGCACTCAGGAGATACTCAAGTGGATCTCTGTTGACTTCCAGGCCAGCCAGGGCTACACAGTGAGACTCTGTCTCAAAAAACTAATCAACCAATCAAAAACCAAAATTACACAATAGCACAAAAATCCACATGCCCTGGTTAGGGGTAAAATCCCAGTTTCACGAAGCCTGCCCCAGCCTCAGATCTGTGAGTGAACTTTAGCTCTAAGACTTCCAGTTGCTTTAATCTCAGTCTCTTAGAAACACCTCTTCTCTTCTGCCCTTTGTTTTTAATTGATTTCCTGTCTCTTCTGATCCTGCAACTCTTGGGCCTGTTCTTGGCCACATTGCTGCCACTTACCCTGAAAACACCATCTTCATCACTTTAGCACCTGTGCCTAAGCTGAATGGCTTTTCCAAGCTAAGGCAAAACACCTTTGCTCTTATGCACCTCTGACATAAGAGGCACCTGCCACAATGGTCTGATTTCTCACTATACTCCAATATATGCTGGCCTGATCAGAGGGCACTGTACTCTGTTCCACGTCACCATGACCTTCTGCCTGCCTCTGGCCTCTGAGCATTCTGTTCCCTTGCCCAAGGGGCCCCCTTTTTAAATTAATCTGTCTTCATCTTTAAGATGCAGCTGAGAGGCTACCTCACTCAAGCACCTAGTCTTACCTACTCCCATCCACACAGAACCGTTCCCAAAGTACCCTGTAGTATCTGTAGTACTTTTTTTTTTTAAAAAAAATTCTGCTTCTGGAATAGTACTTCTCCCTTCCCAATGAAAGAATAGCATTTTTGTGGGAGAATAGGATTTATACTACTTTTTATGTCCAACAAAGCTTAGCATAATGGCTAGAATATAGGAATCAAGGAAAATATTTATATTCTGATAATTTTGATATGTGTTTAAAAAAAAACCCTAGAATACTGTGGATCACAAACTTCAAATGTCCATACCAAAGAACAAAAACAAAAAACTCAAAAAAGCCACTGTTCAAATCCTGTGTTCTGCACTTTACCATGAAAAGATAGGATCAGCCACTTCACACCCTCTAGAAGGGTAAGCATGCCCTCTTCTGGTCATTGGGCTCCATTCAGTAAAACACTAATTATGCAATAATTATGCTCAGTGGACCAAAGCCCTACTCAGTCTCCTTCCCGTTTCTCAGGCAACAGGGTATGTGTGTGTATGAATTATAAGTTTTTCCCATTTCTCAAAATAATGACAGCATTACCTTGTTTAGCAGTTCTGTTGTTCCACCTTCATTAATGGGAGTAAGCTTTGGCTTTGTGATATCTATGATGGGCTGTAACAAAATGAAACCAAACTGAAATCAACACAGGAAAACATAAATAATCATTAAACATTTGTACTTTCCTGGAGCTAGAGAAATGACTTAGTAGTTAAGAGCATTTACTACTCTTGCAGAGGACCCTGGTTTAGTTCCCAGCACCCACTTGATGTCTTACAACTATAACTCCAGTTCTAGGGGATCCAATGCTCTCCGGGAGCTCTGGAATGCACATGGTGTATATAAACTCACACAAGCAAACACATAAAAAGTATTTTAAACAGTCATACTTTGGAGGTCAGAAGAGGGCGCTGGATTCCCCAGAACTGGAGTTACAGATGGTTGTTAGCCACCATGTGGGTACTGGGAACCAAACCCAGGTCCTATGCAAGAGCAGCCAGTGCTCTTAACTGCTGAGCCAACTCTCTAGCTCCACATTCACACTTGCTATGTGGAAGACATATAACCAGGACATTAATTCCACAGGTGTAGGGATTCTTGTTAGGTTCATTCTGTTATACCCAGAGCCCAAGATGTACCCTATGAAACCCAAGATATAACAGATAAAAATGAAACCCAACTCCCTGTACTTTTTCATATATACAGATGGAAAAGAAGGAGAGAAAGAGCTCAGAGCTAGACCTGATAAAAATCCTCCACCTAGGACAGGAACTTCCATCCATGAAACAGATTTCTTTATGAACCTCATACCATGAAACTATAATGGCTGAGGATTTATAGATGAACCAGAACTTAGCACAAATATTTGAGTACTTTAGTAATGCATATTACAAATAAGAATTCATGCCTTCTAACCTAGAAATTTCCTAGCCAGAAATATGTCAAAAAGAACCACTGGAAAAATGTTTCCTATGTGTTTGTACATGGATCCATCTCAGCAGCATTTAGCTATTTGACAAAAGGGACCATTTATGGTGTATCTATAAAGTGGAATGTCATTGTACATAATGATAATGTATAGAAAGACAACCAGGTAACTACTAGTCCTGTCTCCACCTGCTATGTTAGGTAACCTGCTCATGACACAAAGCTAGGTAGCAGAGCCAGTATATAACCACTATTCTGATTACTACAAAGCCTATGCTTTGCATCAGCTGGGTGAAGAGTTTACACAGCTGGGATTTCAGTGACTTCTACAACTTTTCATCTTCTGTGTGCAAGTATGAGTGGCAATTTGAATTCCACCCTCAACTTGAATACTTTTCCTTAAAAGTTCTTACTCTGACAGGCTATGTCTTGAGCATTTTAGATACTGACTATTAAGAATATGTTGCTGAGGAGATAACTCAGTGAATAAATTACTACCACGCAAGTGAAAGGACTTGAGTTCAGATCCCCAGCACCCACATAAAAGCTGGGTATGCATGGTGCCCTGTCTGTAATCCCAGGGCTCAACAGGCAGAGACAGGGAATCCCTAGGGCAAGTTGGCTAGTCTAGCTAAGTTGGTCGGCTCTGAGTGTAGTGAGAGACCCTGCCTCAGTAAATAACAGTGTGCTGAAGGAACACAATGTCAACCTGTGGCCTTCACACACAAGCACATACACGTGAACGCAAACATACAAACAGGCATATACACATGCATGCATATCACACACACAAAGTTATGGATTTAGAATGAACAAAAATTACCTTTTTATTTGAAGATGCAAATTCTGCCTTTTCAAATTCTGCAACTTGTTCTAATAATTCTCTTGAGGACAAAATCAAATATAAAAGACCATTCATTAACAATATACTTCTATCACACAAAAGAATAAAATCACAAGCACTAACCTATCACATGCTAGGAAGAAGAGCACACAATTAGACAAAACTGATATTTAGTTACAAACAGTTGAAACTCTCAAGCCTGTGGAAGCAAATCTGAACCATCCTAAGCACCTGGTATGTTGTATTTGGTAGCTATTCAATGAATACATGCAGTAAGAAATAAACAGGAATGCTAATACACATATGAATGAAATTTGTATTTGTTAGCTAAGAAACAATCTGACTTAAAAAATGTTTACTTATTTATTAGCTTTATTTATGTGTAAGAGTGTTTTACCTGCATACATGTAAATGCACCACATGCATGCAGTGCCCATGGAGACCAAGAGGGTGCTGGATCCCTTATACTTGGAGTTAACACAGTTGTCAGCAGCCATGTGGATGCTGGGAACTGAACCCCAGCCCTCTGCAAGAGCAGTCAGTTCTCGTAATCACTGAGATGTCTCTCCAGCTCCAGAATCTGACTTTAATAGAATTGTTTGGGATATGAAATTAGCTCATGGTATCTACTGAACAAGATTATCACACATTCCCTGGAAAGACAGACACCCAGATCATGGGTGATCCCCGTAATGATCGACCAAGATAGATGTGTGGGCTATGTTCTCATTTACAGACCACTTTTCTATCTTCAAACATCAGTGCTCAGCATTTTCTCACCAGTTACCAGTGAGAAACTGAGTTATAGAAACCAAATGAATTTCCTTCCCTGCCTGAAGGACTTCCCTTAGCATTGCTCATCACTCTCCACATGAGCTGAAATGAGGTGACTCTTCTTGGACAGTGATTTCCAAGGCTTAGCAGTGACTTCTTCTTGACTTCTGGCATGCTTTTCTGAGAACCAACTTCAACTTCAAAGATCTTATTACAGGTTTTGAAATAAATGAGCTCTTTGATACTGTAAAGTTTATAAATCTTGTATGTTTTACATTTCTTAAGCGTATGATTTTTAAAATTTTATTTTATGTGTATGACTATTTTGTTTGCATGTATGGCAGCATACTACATGCATCCAGTACCCATGGAGGCCAGAAGAAGGCATCAAATCCCCTGGCACTGGAGTTACGGACAACTACCATGTGGGTGCTAGGAACTGAACCTGGGTCCTCTGCAAGGGCAGCCAGTGCTCTTAACTGCTGAACCATCTCTCCAGACCCTAAGTGTATGATTTTTAAGTGCAATTATTTAGAAATAAACTTGCAATGCTATCAGACTGAATGGATGGAATAGTACATATAGTTCAATCAATTTTGTGAACTGTTTTTTACTTTACTTCTTAGCAGATCAGTCTATGAAGTCTACTACAACACTGACCATGTCCACAGAGTTGCTGTAAGGAAGAATTAATTTAGATGGATTGAAAAGCAGTTTCATATAGCTCAAAGGCCTTTGTAGTACTTAGAAATGGTGGAAACAGGGCATCTTAAAAAGGACTTTTGAGTGCTACCCAAGGGATCACCTAGTGACTGATGCCTTGCTGCCGTCCTACCCACACCACAGCCCCAAGGAAAGCACTAGCGAAGGCATTCACTAACTTTCAAGATCATACGTGGACTGCTACTGTCTCAACTGCAGGGACAATTTTTATTACCTGTTTTCAAGTTCAGAGATGTCTGTCTGTAGCTTTAGGTACCACTTCTCAGCTTGTGAGAAGAGCTGCCGCAGGAGCAGCACATTGGTGTAGGCTGTGTTGATGAGCTCAGACTCCACCTCACTGTGCACCACAGCCTGCAGCCCATTCAGGACTTCCGAGACCTCATCCACAGTGAAGGTCTCTTCTACCAGCCTGAAAGATAGCACCAGCACAACAGCTAGGAATCACAGGCGCAACTTCCAGAATACAACAAAGTTAAACCTATATCATGACATTTAAGGGATTAAAGATACAAGAGAAAATCTCTCTGGGAGAGATTTATTATTTATTAAAATTAGACTGTGGGTAATTCTTCAAATGTGTTCTCTTTACTACAACTATGTGTTGAGAAACATCCCCCAACTTTCATCCATTCTTTTAATTTTTCAATATTATTATTATTTTTTTACTTCACTGTACCTAAAATTAGTCTTATCACATTTAATAACTTCAAGTCACCCAGAACACATAGTTCCTTCATTTTACTGCTACCACTTTAGCATTTTAGAAACTTTATGAATTATTTACATGTTAGCAAATGCCTATGAGAAATAAACCGTAATTGTATATTGCTTTTCTTAGTAGTCTGGAGACTAAGGAAAAACAAAAAACCCTGTTATCTTAAAGCACCACTATGACATCACAAAAACAAATATTTCCATCAACGACCACATTAAAAGCTACTCTCATTAGAAATACCCGAGTTGGAAGGGAATTTCAGAATCCTTGTCTTTAATTCCCTGACTGTAGACTGGGTTTGGGGGGTAGAGGAGACTTGCCTATGGTTCTACTGTGAGTGACTAAGCCACATAGTTTCAGCAGCATGACCTACAGCTGAGCCCTGAACAAATCTGTGTACACCTCCTACTCACGGTAACTGATACAATACAGAGTCTTTGCCTCTTCGTGCTTTGCCCCTCCAAAGTCCCTCACCCCCAGACTCTCAGACTCAGCGTTGTCTCCTTCTCTTACAAATGGAAAAAATAGAGCAAGAGCCAGTTACACTTAAGTTTTAACACAGTTATACTCAAGTTAATAGTAAATACTGTTAGCACAGTGTCTTAGTTTGTTTCTCCATTGCTGTGACAAAACACTTTGACCAATAGCAACTTGGGAGGAAAGGGTTTATTCAGCTTATATCTCCCAGATCGCAGTTCATCAGGGAGCCCAAGGTAGAACTCAGGGCAGGAACCTGGAAACAGGAGCTAGAGCACAGGCCATGGAGGAACGCTGCTTACTGGCTTGCTCCCCTGGCCACTGCTCAGTCTGCTTTCTTATGCAACACAGGCCCACCTGCCCAGGGGTGGCACCACCCACAGTGGGCTGGGCACTCCCACATCACTCATCAAGAAGATGCCCCTCAGACATGGCCACAGGCCAGTCCAATAGAGGCAATTTCCCAATTGAGGCTCCCTCAACCCAGGTGTGTCAAGTTGACACTAAAGCTATCCCGCACACACAGTTATAGTCCAATTAATAGCATTTGAATTATAATCCTTTAACATTTCATATAGCTAGAAGAATTCAGCCATTCCAAAAAACCCAATACTTAAGCCGGGCATGGTGGTGCATGCTTTTAGTCCCAGCACTCGGGAGGCCGAGGTAGGCGGATCTCTGACTTCAAGGCCAGCCTGGTCTACATATTAAGTTCCAGGCCAGACTGTCTCAAAACACAACAAAATACTTTATTTTCATAAAAGTCTATTAAAATGTATTTTTTGTCTTTATCTACTGTGGGTGAGTAAACCACGTTACCAGATTAGTTAATGGGTTGAATGGACACTAGTCTAAGGCTGACAACCTCCACTACTGAACTTAGCTCACAACTCTATGGCAGCTGTAGCTAATCTGGAGATCTGTTTCACTTGCATCTGACTTGACGTTTAACTACTTTCCATTACTGGCCCAACAAAACTTACCAACGTTTGTTTCAAATCAACTAACAAGGTGCTACTCAGCAAGTTTCTCATGTTTTCCTTGCTGTTTTTCCCCTTTCAAATCCTTCTACAGGACTAGCATAGGTTCATGAGTCCCATGTTAATTTATAGTTCTACTCTTAATAAATCACTGGAGAAATTTAAGTCATGGAATATTTAATCCACAAGCCCATCACAATTTCTGTATGAAACTTAGTCACTGTGTAATTATCATCATGTGCACGTCTGACCACATACTCCTTGCTCCCACCCCAAACAATCTGAAACATCCAAGTTGCTTAGTGGAGCTGCTCTCAGGATTGTTGTGGCTTCTGGTCCAGCACCCCTTCCTAGCGGCAGTATTTTTCAAAGTTGATCATATTTTGATTTTATATTCATCAGTGCTGAGAACTCTGCTTTGCATAAATATGTAGTACAAAATGGTAAAAGTATAGAGCCATCTCAGAAATAGTTGGAAATGCTGTCCTAATCCCAAGCCAAAATTCATTTAATGATTTTTTTTAATGAAACTCAACTCAGCAAATCAAATAGTAATTTTCAAAATCAAACATTCTACCACAATAGACTACAAAGATATACTAAGTTGATATTTATGTGATGAGACATAATGGCAAGAAAATATTGTCTTTGTTTTCTGTAATTATGTTTCCATAAGGGCAGAAAACTTTTGTGCATAGTAAAATCATTGCAATTCAAAGCATACAAAAGTCTGAGCCAAGATGTTTCAGGCAGTTTTTTTTGGTGCTACATGACTGATGATTTGGGCAGTGCAAGGGAGGCCTGCTGTATGTTCAGAACCAAGGCCACAGTGAAGTCTCCGGAGACAACATAGGTAATGCTGCCAGGAACACCTCAGATTCATTATGTATGTATGGAATTATGAATTAAGCTTTGGTCACTGGACCTTCAGAAACATTTTACTGTTGACAAATTTTTCATGACACCCATATTCAGTTATGTGACCCACATGTGGGGGTCATGACCCAGTTTAAGAAGCTGGGACTAGCTGAGTGCGGTAGTACAGAGGAAGGCAGATCTCTGAGATCAAGGCCAACTTGGTCTACATAGTGAGTTCTAGACCAGCTGGGGCTACAGGGAAACCCTGTCTAAAAACAACAACAACAACAACAACAACAACAACAACAACAAAAAGCTGGTACTTAGGGTCCAAGATACCTGCTCTCCTTGAGGTCTTGGAAGCAGGAATCTACTGTTTTGAGTCTCAACCCTCTCTTTGAACGAGCAAAACGCATGTAATTAATAATCTCATTTTGATGGTGCTCATTTAGGCCCAATTCTGCCTGAAAAAGAGAGAAGTACTTTGTTAGTCATGAGGGTCTCACAAAAGAACTAACAGTAGAAACATACAGGATACTCTGTTGTCAGGACTTAAAGATGTCCATTAGGCTCTATTATTCTCTTCCCCCACTGGTTGCCCAGTTAAAACCTCTTTGCAGTCAAGTGTAGTTGCATGACTACTTCTCAGGAACAAATGGGAACCTGTAAGGTATGGGGGATTTTCCAAAGCCTGGGCCTTAAGAAATGGGGTCCATCTTTGCCACACCCTGTTTTTCTAAAACTTGGTGGAAGGTGACCTGGATGAACCATGCAGACCGTTTTGATGCTCTAGGACTGGGAGAACAAAAAGATGAAAGGACCTATCCCTACCTCATGGAGCATCACTGACCCACTCACTAACCTAAATGTGAGATGGCTGTAATGTGGGAGGGATATAAATTGCCTTCGATCCAGGGGTTTTCAGATTTCTATCACAGCAATTTAACCTTATCAAATATAGCCTTAAAAAGCATATTTAGTTTAGAAATTGTCATATAACATTTGTTATAAACCAGATGTTGGTTTAAATAAATCAAGAAGTCAAGAAGGTTGGGTTAGTAGTCAAACAGGAGAAATCAACTATTGTTTAGAATTTTTTTATTTTCTATACCTTATTTCATTTATCAAGCTTGAAACATACCGGGCGCTAACGGAATTCTGCTGATATTTCAGCAGCCCATTTGAGCAGCACGCTCAGACCAGCCTAATTCCTTTTTCCCTAACATTTCAACTTCATTACCGTGCGACTGTTTAAACTGGGACGGTGTACTCGTGGTTCTTACCAGTTTTATTTTTTGGTGCAGGAGACTGAGCCTACTTTGTTCACGAGAGCCAGGATTCCACCACACATTCTAGCCCAAAAGTCTTTTTGGAACGAATCCACCCAAATTTCATCACTGTAAAGTGGGGTACTTGGGTTTTTCAAGTGAAAAGACTCCGCACCAGAAAACGAGACTCCAACAAGCTCACACAGAAAGTTGGGATCAGACCACGACTGCCCATGCTGGCCAAGGTCAGCCCACGACTGCCCATGCTGGCCAAGGTGTGCCTGCAGCGAAGGCCAGGGCACCGCAGAGCGGAGGCACTGGAGACTGCAAGCTGGAAAGGCTGTGGCTCTCGCCGGGGCTGGCCAGCCTCTCGCTGTCGCCCTTCCCTACCCATGCCCCGTCAGTCCCTCTCTCCGGCCGCTACTCACCATGGCGGCGGCCCTCCGCACCCACGGGAACCAGAGAGGCCAGCGCCGGCGGCCGGAGGAGGGCAGGTTGTTTAGAAGCCGCAGGTTGCCAATGGGAACGGAGGCACAAAGGCTGTGGCTCTCGCCGGGGCTGGCCAGCCTCTCGCTGTCGCCCTTCCCTACCCATGCCCCGTCAGTCCCTCTCTCCGGCCGCTACTCACCATGGCGGCGGCCCTCCGCACCCACGGGAACCAGAGAGGCCAGCGCCGGCGGCCGAAGGAGGGCAGGTTGTTTAGAAGCCGCAGGTTGCCAATGGGAACGGAGGCATGTGGGCCCTCTGTTCTGCAGTTTCATTGGTTCTTAGGATCACGCGACAGGAAGTGCTACGTAGGGGCTTACTTACGCATGCGCTCTGGCTTCGAGCTAGGCAGTCCCGCCTTTTCGCGCCACGCAGAACTGGGGGAGTCACCCTCTGTTGGCAATGGTACTAGGAGGGGCGGGGTGGCTTAGGGATCCCATTGCGCTTGCGCACTTGGAATTGGTCAGCTAGTTTAGCTGCGCAGTCTAGTCTCGACCGTGTGGTACTGCGGTGTGGACAGACTGGCCAAGGCTGCGCTCGCAGTGTCCCTCATTCCGTCTGCATTATTTTCTTTTGTGGTGTTAGCAAAAGTGTCTAATTAAACAGCTTTTCCCTTTCAAGATTGCTAACACATCGTTCATAGAGTAGTGAATGAGACAGAGAGAGACTAGACTAGCCATGAGAAGTTGGTTAAACAAGTGACTTCCCCGGCCTCACCTCCGTAAATTCTTTTAGGAAATCTAGTTAGTGTCCTTTGAACCTGCAAGTTTTCCCGTTGTTCTGGAGCGATCACAACCCCTCTTTAAGACACTGTCCCACAAAAGGCAGGTAGAGGAAAAGATTATTATAAATAACCGAGCACCCCACTGTGACAGCAAAATCACGTTTTGCTAACTGGACTGAGTAAAGCAGCGCCAGGTCTGTCTGGAGGAGGCACTGGGCAAGGCAACACAGCAGAGAGCGGTCAGCCTTTTGAGACTGGGAGGTAAAACAGGAGGGAAGATTCCTCATTAGCTCTGAACCATCAAAAGTTAATTTCGAAAATGCATTTGGGGATTGTGTTTATTATGACCAATGCTTTTTGTTATGTCTCTCTCTGTTTCTCTGTCTGTCTTTCTGTCTCTGTTTCTCTGTCTCTCTGTCTGTCTCTGTCTCTGTCTCTCTCTCTGTGTCTCTCTGTCTCTCTCTCTGTCTCTGTCTCTCTCTCTCTCTCCCCCCCCTTTCTGTTCATGAGTGCAGTGCTTATGGAGGCCACAAGAGGGCATGGGGGTACCCTGGAGCTGGAGTTCTAGGTGGTTGTGAGGCACCTGATGAGGGTGCTGGAAATGGAACTCCTGTCTTGTGCAGTAAGTGCTCTCAATAGACGAGCCATCTCTCCAAACCATAGCATGGCCAATACTAAATGTAGTTTAAAGTGGATTACAGTTGGGTGCTTTTTAGATCTAGAAGGATTTTGGAGATCTGGTTCTAGAACCAGAAGGAGGAAGAGACCAAGCCTGGAGATGAGGACTTTGTGGCGGTTCTGAAGCTTGAATCTGTGAATATTTCAAGACAAAATCAGAAGACAAGTGTTGACACTTCTAATACAGTGGGTGTTAAATCAGATTCTACTTTCAAGAGTTTCATCTTTCATTTCCTGCATTTTATTTTATCTGAATAATATACTGTTATGCAGAAAACTTTGTTGTCAGAGGAACTAATCTTAGTAATTATTACACTTGAGGGCCAGTGAAATGGCTCAGCAGGTAAAGATGCTTGCCACCAAGCGTGACAACCTGATTCAAACCCTGAGGCATGAATGGTAGAAGGAGAGAACTGACTTGGGAAAGGTGTCCTCTGACTTTCACATGAGCACTATGCCATGTGCTTGGGCCTACTCCTCCACATGTGTGCATGGACACACACACACACAAATGTAAACTGGGTATAGTGGTACATGCCCTTATTCACAGCACTCATGAGGCAGAGGAAGGTGGATTTTTGTAAATTCCACAGCAGCCTGGATAGCAAGTTCCAGGCCAGCCAGGGCTACATAGTGAGATCCTGTCTTAAATAAATAAATAAATAAATAAATAAATAAATAAATAAATAAATAAATGAAGGAAGGAAGAAAGGAATAAAGAAAGTAATAACAAATTTCAAAAGTGGACTTAAAACTTTTGTTGTTAGGACAAAGTGGTACCAGAGAAATCCTTTAGAATAAAATGAATTTATGAAGACATGAGTTTTAATACTTTATTTTTTCAGGTGCATTAGAAATTGCCTGCATGTATGTAAGTCCACCTGTGTTGTGCAATGCCATCAGAAGTCAGAAGAGGGCATTGGATCCCCTGGAACTGGAGTTACAGATGGTTGTTAGCCACCATGTGCTCGGAACTGAACATGGGCCCTCTGGAAGAACAGCCAGTGGTCTTAACCACTGAGCCATCTCTCTGGCTCCGAAGACGTGAGTCTTTAGAAAAAGAGGCACAATAAGGAAAACATGCTAATAAGATACATGGTCATTACATAAAATGGAAGTAAGTTAAATGGGTAAGAGGTAGAAGGAAACTTTTCAGATGAGGAAATGTGGTCACATGTTTTGCCATGTGTAGAGGCAGGAGAGGTAGACTTGGAATCCAATCATGTGATTAATGCCAAGGGTTTCTAGACCATCTAAGTCTTTACCCAAGTATAAGTGATAGGACTTTCTTGTCCACACCACCACTCCTTAGAGGCAAGGCTCCACCTTCTGTTAAGGGAGCATAGTGAGAAGTGTCAGAAACAGACACACCTTTCCACAACATCAGAATTTGTTGAATAGCAATACTGTTCACAAGCTACTTTAGTTTTGTTGGCTGTAGTTTGCCAAATAGGCCCAATTACCCTTGATAGCTGGCTGAAACCCAGGTTCTTCTATTCCAGTCTTAACTGCTATCTTAATACTCGGGTCACACGTTATACATCATACAGTAAATCCAACTGTAGTATATAAATGTATAGGTAGGTTACAGAATAGCTACAAAAGGGTTAAAGAGGCTACCTCAGAGTACCAGGAGCCCTAAGTGAAAGGAAGACTGAGCTGTTGATAGAGGTGCAAAGGAGGACCTCTGAGAGGAGGGTGGGTGGGAATCAGATCTGATAACAAACCTTGTTAAAGATCTGTTTGAGACCTGCTGCAGAGTCAGAGCTGAGGGGACCCTCAAAGTTGATCTGCCAAGGCAAGGTGCAGGACAGTGAAGGCTACAGAGGCAAAGTGCAGGAGCATTCCAAATGGATGACTGGGCAAATGGTCAGACAAACTGATGACTGTATCAGCAGTGGAGGCCCAGCTAAGCTGAAGCCCCTGGGATAGTTGAGAGTACTTTGCCTGTCACTCCTTTGATACACACACCAGGTGGTCAGATGTCAGGTGGGTGGGGCCATCACTATTGCTGTGTTTGGCATCCTCTTTATGGAGTCCAGGTGAAGGTGTTGCACCCTTTCCTCAGTGCGGTTTTCTTGATATGACTTTAACATACCCGTGTGCTTATATAGTCCTAAATTTATAAGTCAGTACCCTTTCCCTTTTTACCTTTAGGAATAAGTCTGTGCCTCATGAGTGGTGCTGGACAGGTGGTGCCTACATATTCACCAAGGTGCAGAGTCGTCCTGCTTCTGTATTTCCACCCAAATGGAATCAAATGCTGATTGTAAAATAGAGTCACCCAGGGCAAGGCACAGCCTGATAAAACCACTATTTTAAACAATATGAAGTAACTTAGGGTAGGCATAGCCTGAGTTCAACAGGGAATTTGAGTATCCCAGGGCTGTTGGAAACCAGGAGGAGAAGGGGCAGTATCCTGTCTTGGGTGGGGCTTGGCACAGTGTTGTGACATAGGAGTCCTTCACTCAGGTGACCAGAGATGCTGCTGCTCATGGAAAGGATAAGAGGAGCAATCAGCATTCTCATGAGTGTAAGCTGGAGCGCTCTGAGGCATTATCTGAGGACACTAGGTTGGCTGTACCCAACTTCACTTTTGACCAGGCTCTCTATTCCTACCCCCCACCCCCACATGACATGCGGACAGAATCTTTCTCCTTACAAGTTCTATACATGTAGGTTCTCTCTCAGTCCCCCACAATGATCCTTTCAAAGCCCAGTTAAATTTCAACTTTACCAATCTACCTCTCACATTTCTGGTCAGTGAGTGCTGGATCTGATAACAACAGTTATCATTATGTAATGCCTACTGAGCATTAGACATGGTCCATCCCAATAGTAAACCCTCATATATGACTCTTTCTTACTTCAGTAGATATTGGCTTCACTCAAAGAGAAAATCACCTTACTATGTGTTGTGGATGCATGTTGAAGGAATTTCAAAAAATCTTTTTTTTGGTCATTTTGAGACCGGTTCTCCTTATAGCCCCAGCTGTCCTGCAACTTGCTATGTAGACCAGGCTGGCCTTGATCTCACAGAGATCTATCTGCTTCTGCCTCTGGGATTAAAGGATTGTGCTAACACGCTGGCTTCAAAAAAACTTTTATAACACGTAAATAAACAAAATTGTTCATCAGTTTGCCTTGCTGAGGAGATGAATATTTTTCACAGGCAAACTACTGGCATGTTGTGTTATTAACACAGGTAGACAAAGGACGGAGCACATAATGTAAACATTTCATCTGTGGAGGTGTTTGTGGCTTGGGGATTTTTAAAGCAGTTCTGCAAAACTGTGTCAGCTAGTTATTTTAACTTAACATCTTCTGTATGAGGGAAGTTGCAATCTCACCGTTAGCCAATCTACCCTGTAGAGTTGGATATTGTCACATAAGCTGTCTAAATAGTGTCAGCAAATATGGAAACATACTTTCAGTTTTAAGTTGATACATTTGGCTCAGGAAAACTCAACTTTTATTTCATGTTCTTTCCTAGCTTGGGTTGGTCAGCAAAGCAAGCAATATGGGGCTATGAGGGAAAACGGCTCCATTTTAATAGTGAGCTTTTAACTCACTGTATTTTTAATTGATGTGACAGTTTTTAGGAGAGA